CTGTGCGATCTCGTCTTCGACTTTTACTATCAGGATCTCATCCAACCGATTCAAAGTTATTAGATCCTGAAACTCCTTGTCGGACTCTACCTCGATCCCACATTGTCGATGCTGAGCGGCGCTTACTAAGCTGGCAGCACTCCCGTTCCAGTCTCGTTTGACATGCAACAGCTCATGATCTGGCCAAGTACGTAGTCGATCCAAAGCCCGCTGGCGTAACAGTGTCAGACCCGGTGCCTTACAATCGATCTCACCTGGTACTTGCCGGATCACCAGGTTCGAGTCTCCGCAGATCACCAGACGTCGCGGATCCAGATCTTCCAACAGATCCAAACATAGCAACAGCCCATGGTATTCTACCTCGTTCACCGTCAAACCTTCAGCATACCCAGATCTAGCCTTCAGCACCCTCCATTCGGGCAGCTTCCACAAGAGCGCGCTGTAGGCGCCTCCACCTCTCTTGACACAGGCAGATCCATCGAAACTAACGACGTATAGATCCTCATCGCGTCTAATAGTAGGGATCGGAGCTTGGATCTTGCGTGTTGGCTCCTTTTTAGGGGCAATCGAGATCAATGCCTTATCCACTAAAGATCTAGGGGTAATACTGCAACAGAGCGGTCCACTGTCCCAGACGTCCTTGCACGGCTGTGGACCTGAAGAGCCACGCCAAAGTAGAGTGTCGGGTCAACACATGGATTGGGCGCCGAATCAAGGCCTTGTAGTTAAGATCCAGGGTCGTCAGCAAGGCCAGCACCCCCTTCTCTGCGATGCCATAATTCAACTCATTTGACTTCAAAGTACGGCTCGCAAATATCACGGGGTAGTAGGTCTTGCCATACTCCTGCATCAACGATCCTGAGATGGCCCAGTCACTAGCATACACCACAACCGTGGCTCTTCGATCTGGATCAAAGTGCAGCAGGATCGGAGTGGTGGCGATCTTAGATTTGAGCACATTGAAAGATCGATAGGGATGGATCCAACGTGGATCCACTTCAGTGAGATCTTGCGCCTCCAGATCTAGAGTCTTTTGGGGGTCGATCGCTTGATCTCCCTGTGATCCTGGATCTACAATCTCCGCCTCTAGCACTTGTCGGATCCGTACTTGGCTGGTGTCCTTCATCATCGCGGCGAAATCGATTTCTCGCAACTCATACAAAACTGACGCACAGATCGCGTAGTCTTCGATAAAGCAGCTGTAGTAGTTCAGACTCCCAAAAATGACTGCATGGCTCTAAGTGATCCTGGAAATGCTAGATCAGTCAATGCCGACAGATCCTTCGGATTCACCTCCAGTCCATTGTGGGAGACTTTATGGCCGAGATATTCCACCTTAGGCATTCCCCAGAAACTCTTAACCACGCAGATGGACAGATTCCACTTATCGCACGCTTCGAGTAATCCCTCAACTCGATCTCATAGTTGATCCCAGTTATCGGCTGGTATCAGGATGTCGTCGATGTAGGATCTGCGCCCAAGCACCGATGGCTTGCCTGGATCCACCGGTTCCCCGTCCTCAAACACATCCAAAGTACCTCCGTGATCTTCAGACTTCAAGATCCGAGTGAATCCGTATAGCGCGTTGTCGATCATACGTTGATAGATCTTGGGCGCATTCTTCAAGCCAAATGGCATCCGATTCAACTCCAATAACCCAAAGGTGGTAATAAAAGCCGAGATCAATCGAGCACGATCCGTCATTTTCACTACCCAAAATCCACTCGCCATATCCAAAGAAGAGTATAAGAGTGTCGACCCCAGGTCTTCGAGTAAGTCATTGATCAAGGGCATTGGGTAGACCATCAGCTGAGTTACACTGTTAACCAACCGATTATCGATACACAACCTGATATCCACTCCATTTTTCTCGATGATCACCACGATCGGGGAAGCCCATGACGATCTAGGGTAGTTGATCATTTTGGCGGACAATAGACCCTTGACCAAGTCCGCCAACTTCTCCCTGAA